GTGCACATGAATGTTCATAGCGGCATTGTTCATTTCTAAAAAGTGTCTATCATCTGAATAATGGATAGCTAGATTGTGGGGTAGCCCTATAATGGAGCACTAAAAAGATTAGAAGTCCCGATATATGAGGATGCTACAATGTAGAAGGGACTTGAAAACATGATGTCAAGTGAAAGAAACAAATCACAAAAGACTATGTACACTTTCATTTATATAAAATGTCCAAAATAAATAAATCTATAGAGACAGAAAGCTCTCTAGGGCTGAGGGTGGAAGTGGGGGCATTGAGGCTGATGGCTAAGAGGTCTAGGGTTCCTTACTGGGGTAATAAGATATTCTAAATGGATTGTGGTGATAGCTGCATCACTCGGTGAGTATGCTGTGAAGCACTGGTTATATCTTTTAAATGAGTGGATGACAGGGTATGTGCATCACATCTGAATAAAGATGTCACCCTTCCCCCCAAATGAAGGGGAAATAAAGATAATTTCAGAGGAGGTGGGGCAGAAACCTAGAGAATGCATCGTGAGCCACCTACGTGATAAGACATGCTAAAAGAAGTTCTTCAGGCTGAAATCACACATGACCACTTTTATCTACAGAGAGGAATGGAGGGAAGTGGAAATGGTAAGTATGTAGGTACATCATAAGAAACCATAGATATTTATTTCATTTCTTAATTTCTCTAATGGATATATGTCCATTGGAAGCAAACTATGACACTGTTGGGTTGACGACCTATCTAGAAATGTGTTATTACCACCGAATGAGTTGCTTTTTACACACCACAGCCTATCAGTGAGATCCATTTCTTGTTAATGACACATCAAAGAATCAAAGAAAATGTACTTACCAAAGTTAAATTAAAGTGGAAGATGCCAGTATAGGTGCTGTTTATGATTTCCAAACTGGGAGCCAGTCCTCCTGATGTAAATGTACTTAAAACTCCCTGTGAAGTGTACTTACGATCAGCTAGGAAAAAACACTGGATCGTCTTTGGAGAAAAGGGGGAAATGAAGCAAAGCATAAGCAATAACAATGAGCTTCCTGGAGCGAGAGCATTTTATTAATCTTAAAGGGGAAAGACATCTGTGGAAAGCAGATGCTATTAAAGACTTATCATTCCAATCTCTAGCTAGGAAAAACTACCCTCTTTTAAAATTGCCCTTTCAGTACTCAGTAATGTATTATGTCAATGTCATACTAGCTTTCCAGTGGATTATTTATAATAATTTCTGTCATAGAAATACATACACATTATGATGTTTCATAAACCAAGACTCAAACCACATGCTACCATACGCTGAAATCCCCATTTTATTCAAACCCTTCTTGTGTGTCTTAGTAACATGGGAGGCAAATGGATATAGCAAAAAAAAACACAAAAACACCCTTTGTACTGCATTTTGTTGGTTCTTTTCCAGTTTGGAGAAGGGATGTGAAAACATAATTTAAAAAATAAACGGTGGCTTTTACTGAAAACCAACATCAAACAGATAGCAAGGGGTCTATCTTATTTCATTCTAGTGGTTTCGGGCACTTACCGACAGTGCCTTCACTTTCCATATCTCCAAGATGACAAAACACATTCACTCCCAAACAAAACAACCTTCCCTGAGCCAAGCAAGTGCCAGGGATACAAAGGTGAACAAACCACAATGACGCCCACCCCCACCTCACGGAACGTACAAGGAGGACCTGGCAGGAGGCAGGCCCCATGGATGACATGCAGAGAGGGATGGATGGACAAACCAGATGAGAGAAAGAATACAATCAAGAGAAGGAAATCACAAGTACTGGGCTTGGGAAAGAGCTGTGCTTTTTCTTACAGTCATCAGGAAAAGGAATCATACTAACAATAATAGTACTTCCTCTCACAGAAGATTAAACGGCACCATGAACAAGCCACTTAGAACAACGTTTTGCGCTTGTAAACTCTTGACAGCCATTCGTTATCATTACTACTATTACTACTGATAGAAATGTATCGCAGCTCCAAAAAGTGGGCTATGATTCCTTTTTTAAGAGAACAACACAGAGGGTCAAAGAGTTAAGGTAACCTCCCCCAGGAAGCAAGATTGGACACCAACTTGTGGGGTCTGCCTTCCTCCAGCACCCATTCTTTATGCCAGGATACATAACCACACACGTGAAAAGTGTGTTGGGCCTCATGGGCATTCATTCCGTAATTGATGTAAGCTAACGTACGTAAACACACGGTTGTCAGATTAAGGAAAGGACCCAGGAGTCGGGTAGAAGGTTTGGGGGGACAGATGCCTCTGTCCTCCTGGAGGGGTTTTCTTGGTTTGTATCCTGTCTGTCATAGATTTTTGAGCCGTCTGTGCATTTTTTATTATCTCTTTTGTTGGCATTTGCCACCTGTCTGCCTTCAAGTACTTTTTTTTGTTTTGTTTTTTTGTTGTTGCTGTTTTTGGCTTTAAGTCTCTTACTATTTGAATCAAAGGAGTCAAATCATCCCTTGGCCAAAGTGACAGCTACAATGTGGCCATTGTTATGAAAAGATTCTTTCTCACCGTCATATGAAGTAAGTTCCTTTCTCCAGCAGGCAACATCTGTCAGACCTCAAAAGGGTCAAAATAAATATCTCAGAAAAATGAAAATCCTTACCGATATATATATATATACATACAGAGAGAGAGCGAGAGGGCTATGACTAGCCATATAGATATAGAGTTAGAGACAGATAGATTTAGATACAGATACAGATTTAGAGACAGATAGATTTAGATATAGAGATAGATATCTCTATTTAAGTGGGGAGGAGGCATTTTTTTTAACTGAGCAAAACCACAGGGTATTGAATAGCTATATAAAATATCTTACCTGATTCATGAAACAAAAAGGACAAGATTATTATTTACAGTGAAAACTGAGACTTGTTGTTTTCCACCTCTCACAAGTTTTCCGCCTGTGACAGAGTACATTCTCACCATGGGCTACTTTTAGTGGACAATCCTGGTGTTTCCCGTCTCTGGCCAGATTCTGCTTTACGCAGGTTCTGCCTTTCACAGTGTTCACAGTTTATAGGGCCCTCCCCTCCCCAAGTCTGGAAGTAGTAGAAGTTACGTGAAAATGCATACATAGCTCAGGTCGTAGACATGGGCTTAAAGGGTTGGTAGGAGATGTGCTGACTGGAGCTTACCAACTTGGACGACGTGAGATACAACTTGAACATTTTGTTCATCTTGTGGTATCCTTCACTAGAACAAGCAAAGTATCTCTTATTTTCATCTGAACAAAATAAAGAAACGTAAATGTTTTAGGAAATCAATGGAAGAATTTCCATGAAAAGACTGATATTTGAAAACTAGACAAAATGTTTCTCTTTTAAGTTACTTAATTCTTCTTTTAAGTTACTTAATTCTTTAACTTGTGATTTACTTTACATCCCCACTCACTCCACAAAAACATACTAAATTCAACCAAGAAGCCCTTGATGCTGCAGTGATTTGACTCTTGAGCTGCTAATGGCAAGGTAGGCAGTTCTAGCCCCCTAGTAGCTGTGCAGGAGAAAGACCTGGTGACCTGCTCCCATAAAGATTGGGTGCTATTGCTCGGTGCCTAGACACAATATTTTTAAGGGATTAAGAATCATAACTGAATATTTTAAATTCAGTTTACTATAGATAAAACTTGAATCTTCCACTCACCCTCCTCCTTTTTAAATTATCAGGACACTTTAGATGCCCTGGGCACCCTGCTCGATACTCTCCTTCAAGAAGTGATCACTGTGTTGGAGAAAGTAGATGGTGCCCGGCTGGACTAGCATCTGGGGTGTTAAAAGCTTGTATTCAAATAAGCTGCCATCTAAGTCCACATGGACGAAGCACACCAGCCTGTGCGATCCAAAGATGATGATA